TGTGGGTTCTCGACAGTGAGGGGGGCGCAAGGGGGGCGAGGGAATGATCGGCGTGTGAGTCGGGGGTGAGTGTCGAGAGTTGTCGGATGGGGTGTGTGTGCAAGAGCGAGTGTTGGAGGTGGAGGGGATGGGTGTGTGACAAGAAAAGATTGTGTGTAATGTTGAGAGAGGACTAGATGCCAGATGTCGAGCGAGTAGGACGAGCAAGCAAGCGAACCCAAGGAAGGGGTGGGTCAGAAGGGAAGAGGAGAGAGAGGCTTAAGGGACTCTGAACAAGTTCTACTAGTGAGCCGGTTAACTAGCTGTAATCAACATTATTGGGCGTCGATGCGGGGACATGGGACTCTGGATCGGTCGTCGCTGTCAGCCCATCTCCGAACCGTCCAAAGGCAAGAGAAAGAGGGGCCATGCATGGCGCCGAGCAACTCCCTCTTCGCGTCGGCTCTGCGTCGTATGCAAGGGTGGGCTCATGATGTCCCTTAGCCGCTTTTCCCTTGAGCCACCCCCCCTAAACCCTTAGCCTCTCTGTCCCGCGCTCATTTACACTACCCCCCTCATCCTCGGCGCACGCGCCTGCACGACTGCCGGCACCTCTCGTACATGCATCCATGTTTTCTCATGTCCTCTCAGTCGTTCTCTCAAAGAGATCCTTCAGATCAGATTGGACGCAGCAAGTAGGTATGGGGACATGAGATCAGATGACGCCGGACGCGTCGCTCCCACCACTATTTACACCGATACACCTGCTTGCATTCCTCGTGATCGCAAGCCGTGTTGGCCGTGTTGGCCGGCAGCTTGGGGGCAGACAATTACAAGGCACCCAATTCATCCTCGCGTGTTTGCTCATGTATTCAGTCCTCTCAGCCTTGCAGGCTGAACTCTGTTTGTTCGCCGGGCGCGTTGTTTGTTTGCAGGCTGACGTCGGAGAGAGCCCACAGTGGAGGGAGGTGGAGTAGACGCAGCGGCGTATGCCGAGAACGCGTCGTTGATGCCCGGCCACGACGTAGAGGACAGATTGGTAGTGAGCACCCCGAAATGCGTTCCGCGACCCGGGCGCGACCCGTTGCTGCGTTCCAGTCGAGTTTAATCGCCGAGCTGGCGTTCGCTGCCGGCAGGCAGCGCCAGAGAATGCTCAAGAGCAGCTGCTCGGTCAGCTGGGATACCCAGGTCCCTCGACAACGAGAAGATGGACGTACGCAAGCCACTCTCCGTTCGTGCCCTCTGCCCCGGCTGTGCCTTTTGCATGATGCGCTGATGCACGACGATGCAGGATGATGCGCACCCGTCTGCTCTCCTACCGCGTTCGGTTTCAGACGTTGCGAACGCTTGCGACACCACCGAAGCCTGCGACGCATGCGACGCCGAGCTTGGCGAAGCTTGACGTGTCGATCTGCCGACGAGCCTTGACCTTGAGCTTCCCTGCATCCGTTTCCTGCAGCGGCTGGTGAGTGGGTGGCAGGGACGGCCGGAGAGTCAGATCCGCCGCAGTCGTCTCCTCGCAGCCCTCGTCGACACAGACGTACCGACGGCCATCTCGGCCAGGCCAGACGATGATGGTTTTGCAGACATGTCCTCGCCATGCAGCGTTCCAGACCGAGCTCGGGCTCTTTCCGAGCTTCCGAGCTCGCGACAAAGTTCCCGGCCCGTACCACTGTACCACTCTTGACCTTCCTGTCTTCTCCTGATTCCTGACTTGGGTGTTTCGTGTCAGACCCAAACGACGGCAGTCAGCCCTGACGTCCCACTACCACCCGGCTGGGCCTGATATATCAACAGACAGGATGCTGACACGTCTGTACACATCCTAAACACGCTTCGACGCGTCGAACGTACATCATCAACGGACCGGTACTGCGAACCTTAACGCAAACACGGCCACGGGCTGGGTCTGACGCACCCTCGAAGTCGTTTTGGAACAGGGAGTTGCTTGCCACGCGACAAACGCAACCTCGAGAGCGGAGAGGGAGAAGCAGATTAGTACAAAGGTGGTATCACATGCTAGGTATTCTATAGATATCTGCGCCACTTGCGGCTCGCGCACACCAGTGACTCTGTCAATTGCAGGCGCCAGTTTGATCTCCTTCCTGCCATCGTCGCTGAATGGGGAGGTCTGCCCGATGGGTCCGGTGAGACGCTGGACGAGGAAGGCGCCAAGCCATCAGCAGACGGCGTGACATGCCGATCCCCTCGTGCTTGGCTCTCCTGAACGCCAGTCTCGTCCGGTCTGTCCGTCGGTTGTAGCACATAGCACTGCCGCCCGCACCGCCGTGCACGCCTGCGCACCTACGCGCCTATCGCACTTCGACCACACGCTGCGCGGCGTCCTTGACCAGCGCGTCTTCGATCTGCTTCACGCTCTCGCGCACGCGCTCGACGCCGACGCGGACAACGGCCATGACGTCGTCAACACTAAGCGCACTGCCGCCCGCCTTGGAGAGCACGCAGAGCTCGCGCTGCGCATTCAGCGTCACCGTCATCGTGCCGCTTGCAAGCGTCTCCTCGAGGTGCGTCGGGTCTAGGATCGGCTGGAGGTCCTCGAAGTACGCGAACGTGAGGCAGAGGGGGTTGTGGTGGATCGCGAGCGGGAGGGGGGCACGCTCGTCGGGCGAGTGCTGCATGTCAGCTGAGAATCCGAAATGCGAAGCTCTGGGAGGGATGGAAGCGAGAAGGAAGTTGAGGTTACGCACCACAATGACTTCGTCGCCGTGCACCTCGACTTCAGGCTTGCGGAAGTGCTTCAGCGCCGTCATGGCCGCAATGGAGGCGCAGTCGAGCAGGTTGCCCTCGTCGGAAAGGAAGTGCAGCGTCAGTCGGAGGTGCCAAACCTGTCGTCAGCTCACCGCTTCACCTCGAGAGCTCACCTTCTCGCCAGCAACGATACAGAGCGCCTCACGGTCCACAGCCTCCGTTCGTCGAATGCTCTTCTCAAGCAATCGCGTGATCATGACCTCGTCCTCGGACGCACTGTTGTCAGCTCATCGAGCGAACTCAAGCTCACCGTCCAGCTTCGAAGGCGCTGCTGGCCATGGGACTGATCTCGCTCGTGATGAGCAGGAAGCCCTCATATGGCCTGTCGTCGCGCGGCTTCACAATCGTTGCGGTGACTGTCGCCATGACTCTGTTCCTGTCAGCTGAAGACGATAATGTGACAGCTCACGCAGTCTTCCCCATGCGGCACTCGACGGAGCCGAGCTCGGCGCCAAAGCTGAGCTCGAACGGGCGCTGCTCGAGCGGCAACCGGCCGTCGAGACGCTTGCCCTGCTCCAGCGCCTGCACCAGAAACTCCCTCTGTACTGTTGGCGGCTCGATTTCTCTCGGCATGTTGTTAGCTGCTGATGGAAGTGTGTATGTGCGTGGTTCAGTTGGCCGCCGATCACAACTTTTGGTGAGTGACGAAATGGCAAGACTTCATATCGCCCACGTGGAAATGCATCCGCTCTTCTGCTCGAGGAGCTTGTTGACCGACCGCAACTGCAGCATCCACTCGTTATCGGCATCCACACCTTCCCTCACCACTCGCACGGTACGATGACGTCCCAGGACGTGCGCTCGATCCTCAACCTCCCGCAAGCGGGCCCGTCGTCCGCCCCAGCACCGAAGAAGCTCGCCAAAGTTGCGCGGAAACCGGACGGCATCTCGCGAGAGCTCTACGCCCTCATCGGCGACAATGCACCTTCCCTTGCTGAGGTACAGGCATCCACGGCTGCGGTGCGATACCGTGACCGACCAAAGCTCAAAGGGAAGAAGGTCAAATGGTCAGTTTCCCTGTATCCGGACGTGAACTAACGAGGCAGGGAATGGACCGAGTTCACGCCGTTGGCTCGCGAGGGCGAGCAAGGAGCGCCCCGTCTTGGACACTGGGTGCGCGTGACGGATGACGAGCCGCATGCGCGTGTAGACTACTTTGGCGCCTTCAACCTTCACGGTCCGTCTGTAATGGAGTACTCACAGTATGAGTACGACCAGCACCTTGTCGACCCCAACTGGTCTGCGGACGAGACGCGGTATCTCTTCGACCTGCTGAGGCAATATGATCTCCGTTTCGTTGTTGCTGGGGACCGGTATGAGTACCGTGGACCGCGGGGCCAGGATCCGGTCAAAAAGAGGAGCATTGAGGTGGGTGAGCAAAGCCTGATTTCGCTGACCCGGCAGGAGATGAAGGACCGATACTACACTATCTGCAGGAGACTAGTGCGGACACGAACGGCGTCGGACCCGCAAGTGCAGCAGCAGCAGATTGCGCAGTACTCGTTCGACAAGGGTGGGTTACTTGCTGCAGAATGGCACTAACCTTCAGCGCGTGAGATCAAGCGGAAGCAGTATGCCTCAGAGCTCTTCCACCTGACAGCGGCCGAGATCGCAGAGGAAGAGGCACTGTACCTCGAGGTTAAGCGGATGGAGCAGAACGAGCGCAGGTACCGTGCCGACCGCGACGACCTCATGCGCTCGATCATCGGTCTGGACAGTGGTCTTGTCAGCCTCGACCAGGCGAACCGCGAAGGTGTACCGGGTCTCGACCCGAAGGTGAGTTACACTATTTCCTCGGACCTAACTCTGCCCAGAGCAAGAAGAAGCGCCGCCCGGACGAGGAGACGCCGTCCCGACCTGCGAGCCCTGGTCCGCCAGCGAAGAAGCCGAGAGACCAGGCGGCGTGGGACGCCCAGCAGTGCATCTACCGCCTTCCTCCGCCGACAGTGGCGGCCAATTCGTCGCACCTCGCGAGCAAGCACCCCGTACACCAGCCCGTGCACCTGCGCAGCACGAAGATGCCGATGCCAAAGGCGAACAGCGCGATCCGCATCACGGAGCTGCTCGGCGAGATGGGTCTCAGCACTCACCGTCTCGTCATGCCGACACGCACGAACCTGGAGGCGTACGATGGCGTTCTCGGCGCTGCTGCCAGCCTGATCGACATGAAGCGCCAGGTGGACCGCGTCGAGCAGGAGATCCGCACGCTCAAGGCGCAGAAAGAGGGCTTCATTCCGCCCGTCGAGCAGAGCCGGAAGCGATCAGAAAGCGTGCTCTCAACGGATACATCGGGAACGGGCACGAGGAGGAGCCGAGCGTAGGCTGCGTTGTGATGTTGCTTGTGGTCGTCAGTTGTAGCATGCATCTGTGTTTCTATTGTTGAGCATGGAGCTCCACACTCCCGCATTAGAAATGCCCCACTATCCATGGATTAGGATTCCAGTTTCGGTGCCCGATCGCATTAGAAAATCAATTACAAAATCCACGTGGAGACGACTAACTCCGAAACCCCGGACGCGTGGCTTCCTACCACGAGTTCAAGATCGCTTTTTGTTCTCGATCAGCAACGACAGCGAGGGCCCTCTCACGAGCACCATCGCCCCCTTCACCACCGTCACTCACCCCCCAAAAGACGTCTACCGCCATCATGACGTCCATGGCCGCCGCTATCGCGGCCTCGCTGCCCGCCCAGGCCACCCCCGAGCCCGCCCCCG